CTACGGTTGAAAACAATAAACAAAAAACTATTCAACCGCGAACTGTCTACACTTGGACTTCAGGTTTTAAGAAAACTTCATATCATCAAATTTTAGCTTGTTGGCTTGAATGTTCCTTATAAATATTTTAGACAATTCAATAGTTTCAACTTTGATGGCTTTTCTGTAGACATATGATCAGTTCTTTCCCCAAAGTGAGATTAGTGAGAGATGAGAAGGAATATGAAGAAAACGTCATTTAAAGCTTTTTGTTTCCTCTTGATCTGATTCAACAGAATTCCAAATTGTATGTGTCATGATTCAGAACCCGTGTCTGGCATAATCCAAATAGTAAAGATTATTTCACTAAGTTAAATATATTGAGTTTAATAATTCTAATTTTAAATGTTGATTTACCTACAAAAGTGCACCAAATTTTGAAGTCTTCCAAATCATGCGCAGTTAAGAAATACCATGCATTCTGTTTTCTTCTTCCCTTCCCAGTAAAATATAGGTGGAAAGCACAGTGCTCTCTTGACATCTCCATTTCCTCATCTCTAATTTACTCTTTCATAGATAGCCTTTACCATGTTGACATATGTTCCTGATATCCCTAGGTTTTCTAGCGTTTTGAACATAAAGCGATGCTATATTTTATCAATTGCTTTCTCTGCATCTATTGAGATGATCGTATGATTTTTATCTTTGAGTCTATTGATATGATGAATTACATTTATTGATTTCCATATGTTGAACCATCCTTGCATCCTGGGATGTACCCTACTTGATCATGGTGCACTATCTTTTTGATATGTTTTTGTATTTGATTTGACAGAATTTTATTGAGAAATTTTGCATCTATATTTATTAAAGATATTGGTTTGAAGTTTTCTTTCTTTGATGTGTCTCTGTCTGGTTTGGGAATCAGGGTGATATTGGCCTCATAGAATGTGTTTGGAAGTGTTCCCTCTTCTTCTATTTCATGAAATAGTTTGAAAAGTATTGGTGTTAGTTCTTCTTTAAAGGTCTTGTAGAACTCAACTGTGTATCCATCCAGTCCTGAGCTTTTCTTGGTTGGTAGGCTTCTGATGGTGTCCTCTATTTCCTTGCTTGAAATTGATCTGTTTGGAAGACCATTTTGCAATATTTAAGACACAGAAAAGTTTACAGAATAAAACAACAAATGAATTCCTACCTCATAGCCCAATTTTTAACATGTTTAAACACAGTCAAAATCCCACCAATGCTTCCTGATCACATGAGTCTTCCTCCTGAATTTGCACTGTACCATTCCCAGGCAACTGCCTCATAGCTTTATGAAGTGTATCTTCATAAAATGTATATAATTTTACATGTGTATCCTTAAGCCATATGGAATATTATTTTGAATTCTTAAACTTTACCTAAATGGCATCCTAGAACACAAATTCTTCTGAAACTTGATTTAGTCAGCATTATGTGAGAGAGAATCATCCATGCCCAGGTATATAGTTTAGGTTTTCTCATCTTCACTGCTGCATAGAGTTCTGCGGTGTGAGCGTGCTGTAACTTACACTCTGGTTTAGGAACTACTGCAAATATTCTTTCAATAATGTGCATGGACATTCACTGTCTCCAGTTTTATATGCCACATCCTCTCCAACCTGTGATACTGTATATTTACATTTTTGCAAGTCTGCTAGTCCATTGCAATTTGATTCACTTTTCTCTAATCACTAGTACAATTAAGCTTCTTTCCTGCCAGTTTCTGGCCATCTGAGTTTTCTCTTCTGAAGGGTGTTTTATATGTCAATCCTTTTATTATTATTTTTTCCTTTTGGAGTTTCCCTCTCCCCCTCCCCCACTCTTCTTTTTCTCTTGCTTCCTTTCTTGCTGGTTTGCTTTCTTTCTTTTTTTTTTTTAACTCTTAACATCACCAAATAGAGCAAACATTTTCTTCATTGCTTAATAAAGTCTTCTTTCCCCTAAGGTCATAAAGATGTTTTCCTATGTTTTCATCTATAGAAATTTTACCTTTCAAATTATTTCATTGAGGATTGACTTTCATATAGAGAGGGAAGCAAGGGCCCAATTTCATTTTGCTTTCCTCCTGAGAACAGCGAAATGCCCCAGCACCATTTACTGAATGGTCTATTGAATTCCTTAGCAGCTCTTGCCAGAAGAGTCAGTGAACAGTAATCTTTCTTAGAAACGCATGGAAGTATTTGCCTTTTCTTGCATGACATTGAAGTGGATACACAATTTCCTCAGCATTTTGAAGATGTGTGTCTTCTGGTCTCTATGGCCACAGAGGACATACCTGAAAAGTTCACTACCGAGTTGACTTGCTCCTTTATCCATCACCTTATCCCCCATCCCTTTATGCTTCTCCTTTATCTTTGAGGTTCCACAATTTTAATACAAGGTTCCTTGATGCAGATTTTTTTATTTATCTTGCTTGGAATTCTTTATCCCTTCTCAAATTTAGGGTTTTTTTTAACTTCTAAATGTTTTACAGTAATTCTTTTTGACGTTTCACTGACAGATGCCTTGCTTCCCCCTCCGGAAATTTCTATGAGCTGGATGTCGAAGCTCTGTCCACTCCCCATGTCACCTCATCTTTTTCCCTCTACCCCTCTCCTACTCGCTGGGGTGCCTCCCATATAGTTTTATCAGATAGACTTCACATTTCACTCATTTCCTCTTCATCCACATCTACTCTATTGTTCCAGCTATATTTTAATGACTTCAATTTTCATTGCTTAAAATATCTCTGATTTTCTTCTCAATTTTGCAATGTTCTTTCTCCACCCTCAAAAACCAAGTTTTATAGTAGTGACCCTGTGCCTTCTTTTATCCCTCTGAACATCTTAAACATTTATTTTGGAGCCCGTGAGAGGCAGCGTCATTTAGTGTTGAAGTGTTTTGCATGCAGGCGAGTCTCCCCAGTGCCTTCTTCCTCTGAGCAGGCTTCTTCCTCTGAGCATATCCTTGTATCACCAACTGCTGTGGTATCTCTGTGTTCTGCACTCAGAAGATCCTCTCCCAGCCCAGTGTCCAAGATACAAGAAGCCATTAAAGTCACTTTATGATAATGGGTGGAGTTTTCCTGGGATAAGATACCCGCTTTACTGGCTCCTGGCTCCCCAGTACACATGGGAATTCCAGACTCTGGCTCCAGGTGGGATTCTGAACTCTAATCATTAAGGTGCTTCCTGTCCTAAGAGCAGAATGGATGCCTTGAGGCAGCCCTGACTCTCTTGTATTCCTATTCAACATGCTTACCCTTAGGAAATCAATTCACATCTTTGGGATAAATAGTAATAGCTGTTGTGTCAATTTCTGCTCACTTTTTTAGCTGAGCTCCCTCCTCATTCTGGCAACCAAAGAGTATTCCAGATAATTCTGCTAGGTATTTGGTAAAATGTATATTTTAAAATAAACTACCATTTTCATGTGTCTACATATAAAGAGTATGTATTTCTCTGTCCAGTTCATGCAACCATTCCTAAAAGAACTCTTCTTCCCTCTCTTTCCCTTCCTTCCTTGGCTTCAGCAGTCTCCAGCTCTTCCCTCTGATTCCTTCCTTCCTTCCTTCCTTCCTTCCTTCCTTCCTTCCTTCCTTCCAGAAGCCAGAAACTTGAATAACATTGCAAATTTATCGTTTCCCCCAATGATCACCTCCAATCAACAGTACACCTCTACACATTCTACCCTTTGGCCCTATCATGTCCGAACTCTCTTGCACTAGGATGGCCTAGGTCCTGGTCCTCTGTCCCCTTCCCCATCTGACTGCAGAAGTAGCCCAGATGATCTTCCAATCTTCTTTAAGTCTTGCCTGACTTTAAAATAATCATGGACATGAAATATTTCATGAGTTTTTAATTATTATTATTTCTGTTATCATTGTACCCTGAAATTACCAAAAGGAACTTCAAAATATCATGTGCTTATTTGTGGTCTAAGATGATTTGGATAGCAGCCCAAGATTCAACCTTCCTCAGCTTTACACAAAAATGTATACGACACAAAGAAGGGGAAAAAAAAGTATGAAAATAAGGACTATCAAGTACTTGATTGCCAGAATATAGGAGGAAATGCCACCAATTAAATTCACAAAGCTGAAATGAACATAAACATCCTGGGGTGATACTGAATCACACATGGAATCTTGGAAAGAGCTCCTGCCAGCCTGCAGGGAGCAGGAAGACACCCTGCCCCTCCTTCACTGCCCCCCACAGGCTAAGGACCCAGAGTCATTACCAGCAAGGCACAGGGCAACCAGCCTCTTCTGCAGGTATGTTTTCATGCAAACTGTGTGTCTTTCAACCCCCTTCTGGCCAACAAAGCCCATGTCTCCACACAAGCAGATTCAAGCCCAAACCCCTAGGAAGTAACAGGGCAAGACATAATAGTACTAGAAACTTGGATAGCCTCCCTGTTAATCTCTGTTTCACCAGAATAGAATTCTAGCTTTCTTACTAACACACCAAACACAACTTACTAAAAGTCAAATAAATGTAACCTTTCCTGAGCAGATCCCATCTGCAGAACAGTCCAGCTGGCCTGCATTGCATTCGAGGCCTCCTCTATCAGATGCAATCCACCTTTATAATCTTATTTCTCATTATTTGTCCAGACATTAGTAACTCTAGCTGCATAGTATTATCCAATATCTCTAGCACATCTCTTTTCTCCCACCCTCTTGTCTAGCTTTCCCTTGTTTCTTCTGCCTGGAAGTCTCTCTTCTCCCTCTGATTGAAATCTTCCACGTTAATTAAAGGTCTGTCTTTCAAGGTTCAGAACCTTCTCAACGTCTTCTAAATACTGAAACTGGAATCAATCAATCAATTCTCTGTCCTCCAATAGCATTGTCTTGGTATTTTTATTTTCATACTTACCACTGTCTGTCTTATATCGCTACCTACAGACTGAATGTTTTTTATTAGCTAACACATACCACAGTGCCTTCTGTTTCAAAATGTGCAATACACATATTGTTGAGCTAATTGAAGACAAGATGAAAATGAACTAGAGGGAACTTCTTGCATAGATCTCAATTTTTACTATTCCATTTCATATTTCTCTTCAAAACAATAGCTGAGTTTTGTCACGAAGCCAAGATGCAGACTGAAAAGGAACTATATCTTGAATTTCCTTTGCAATTTTGAGGAGGAAACCCATAGGTGACACCTTCCCTGACAAAGGAAAGAGGAACTAGAGGCCACAGAGGTGGAGGAGGTGGAAACTGAGGTCATAAAACAAAAGGAAATCCTGTTTTCCAGTCTCCACAAACTGGGTCCAGTTGTTGATCTCTCCTGTTGAATTGGAGCAATAAAACATGTCCCGGAAGCTGCGCAGACGCTGCAGGAGTGGGAGAATCAGGAGTGACCCAACAATATACAGGTGAGGTTCATCTCAGTTGTCTCCTTCTTCCTTCTTCCCACTGCAAGATAGAAAATCGATGTCAACTTTAAAGCCAGTTATACATTTGTTGCACAACAGAGAAGCTTTCAGCACCATTTTTAGTAATTTCCAGTTCAGCCAGCGCTGAACATAGTCAGACCTGCACTTATAACCCCTGGGAGAAATCGTCCTTCTTAGTGGTTTCAGGAATACACGTTCCATGATGGTTTGGGAAGGCACAAAAGTTGTGTTTCCCATCCCTTTTCTCACCAATTCAAAAGCAAAATGCTCTCACTTCTCAGTCATTGATTCAACAAGTATTAATGGAGGTCTGCTAAGCTCCAAGTGCTGCGCTAAGAGCTGGAGGCAAACTGAGGAGGAAAGGTGGCAAAGCCCTTGACCCCAGGGGCCCCTTTCCCTTGGGAGAGACAGACACCAATCAAGTAATGTCAATTTTCCTGCCATCAAAGTTAGTCCTTGGACAGGATAGGAGACTCCAGAACAGAGGAGGACCTGGGTTCCTCTGAAGACTTAGAAAACTTCCCCCAAATAACTGGGACACTGAGTTAAAGGCTGCCTGTACAACACAGCAGGGTGAGGGAGGACAACGTTCTAGCAGAGAAAAAAGGACTCACAGAGACCCCGCTGCGGAGAAATGATATTCACACACAGCGTTTAAGACTCAATCATCACGACCACAGCACGCCACATTCTCTTTCTGCAGTATTTTTTAGTAGCCAAAGTTCTGGGATTCTGCATACTCTTCTAGTTCATAAAAAAGCTAAGTATTTAGCTGTTTAGAAAGTCTAAAAGTAAAAACTGGGTTAAGAATTTGGGTGATAAATATAAGTTTTAATTTGAGGTAAAGAAAAAAACATGAGAATAGCAGATTTTGTGCTGAAAATTTTGAGTTTAGTTTCTTATTCTGTAACCCATCCTCCTTCCCCTCAAACCCCCCAAGCCAAGAGGCCTGGTCACAGTGCCTAAATCTTCCTCTGTTCTGTACTCTCAAATGAAAGGCAGCCAGACAAAGAGTAACTCAGAAAAACTGATCTCACTATCAGTTTTTCTCAGCATTACTATTCCTAGATGGCTCTTAGACCATTCTGATCCATTTTGCTTGAAGGTCTTAGGATAGACCAATAGTATGGGAAAAAAATTAAACAAGAGGAAACTGGTAAGTCTTGCCATCTGAGAGTTTATTTCTTAAACTTTCCAAAGTTTGTTTTACTGATTCAGAATGACTCTTGAAACCATGATGTAATTCAGTGTTTTTTTGTTATTGTTGTTGTTGTTGTTGGCCAGCATGCTCTGGTTTCTGTCTTGGCAGGGACAATATATTAATCTCCTCCTATAATCCTGACACGAAGGATTGGCCCAGTATTTATTAATTTACCTTTCACTTAAATTGGTTTTGCCTTTAGCTGCACTGCCTTTAACATTCTGGACGAACCATTCCTGTTTTTAGCATAATGTAAGATGGGGTCAAACTTCTACTTCTCCAGCTGGGCTTAATAAATAAAACTAATAGCTGAGATTGATTACCCATTTAGACAGCAAACTACAAAACCCAAGATGGATCGTGTAATTTGCAGCTCTATGACATGTATTAAATTTCAAGACATAAGATAAATAATTCATGTAAATAATAAGCAAGACACCCAAGAATAAAGTTTGTGGTAATCCTCTTACAGAAGGTGAAATAAATGACAAATTTCATTAACCCTTGACTTAGGATATCCTGTAAATGCATTTTAACTAATAATTGACTACTTGAGACTGAGGTAAAAATTAAAAAATTCTGTTACCTGTTTTCTTAATGAGAGACTTTCTTAATTAAATATCTAGACAGACTTCTCAAAAAGTGATCTCCAGATCTACATTTTTCTTACACTAAAGTTAACCTACCACCTTGTGATTTAGAAAATTAAAGTTACACAGATCATTCAGGAAGAGGAAATACAGGCAAAGGATATGAATGTCAAATCCTTCTCTTTTGGTGCCTGACAAATAGAACCAAATGGATAAAATATGAAGTAAGTGTTGAACTTTATTTATACTTTTTATATACTTAAATTTGAATGCTTTAGGGGCTGGAGATATAGCTCAGTTGGTAGAATGCTTGCCTGGCATGCATAAGGCCCTGGGTTCAATCCCCAGCACCACCAAAAAATTGAATGCTTTCCAGTGACATAACCACTTAACCTGCTCCCCACAGGCACAGGTTTCTTAATTTGCAACCTAGGAATTAAAAATTCCACTTCTTTATCGAGTAGCTTTGTGGCTAGATTAGTTAGATTTGAGGAAGCCAAGATAAGGCTGAAACTCTGAGGAAGATATATAAATGAGAGATGACTGTTTCTCAGAACTTCTAATGAAGGACTGTACCCATCAGCCCTGCCACTGAGACATTCCAGCCCAGGATTAGGGAGTGGGTAGATTTCTAAGCCATCCAGAACAGGACCTGTGGCCCCCGGGACATAGTTCTTCAGCCCCAGGGATGCAAAGATGAGACTGTGTATGTCCCCTGCAGCTCCAGCGGACTTGAATACTCAGCCATGGATACAGAGCTTTGGTCAGTTAAGCCCTCCCTGAGCATGTCTATAAGGCAGCAAGCAGACTAGGTTTTTCTGGAATGTTCTAAAGATGAAGAGAGTCCCTGCGTTCCAAGATTTATGAATTTGTGATGAAAATTGTATGCAGTGAACTTTTTAATAATTTTTAGATTCTTTATTATTAGCATTACTCCAATTTTACAGATAAGAAAACAAAGGCACAGAGAGTTTTGCTGAGTATTTTTTTCGGCACAGCAAAGAAAGTGAGGGACGAAAATGAAATTTCACCTCCAGCCTTTACCTCACTCTTTATCTTGATGTTTACAAGGAAGCAGAGAGACTTGCCACTGGGGTTCCTTTTTGTGTTAAATTTTGCTTTTCTCACAGGATTAACAGTTAACTAATCTTTACTAGGGATAAGAGTTTGAATTTTAGAAACTCAGTTCTTGTATAAAAGTGTTGGAACAATGACAGGTCTGGGCATAAGTTCTCCTGAGTAACTCTGTTTATTTGGAAACAATTGCCTGAGATTGGGTGGCTTCTGCAGTCACGATAATGAGTTACATAATCAAGGTGACCCCACCTAGGGGATCCAATTGGTCTTTGAAAATTTCCAGTGAGGATTAGAAATGAGTCAAGAGGTCACATTTAGATCCCAGCATAGGCTTTGTATTTGGAGAGTTTAGAGGAGTTGTGGGTGGCTTTGAGACCCACCAGAAGCTTTGCATCCACCGATCTGGAGCTGCTCCCAGACCCAAAGACGGGGTCACCCTATCCCCAGACCCAAAGACAGGTTCCCCCTATGGCAGATCCTTCATCACCCATCAAATCTGAAACCAGCACCTTCAGTGCCAAGCCCGCGCCCCAGGGCTTCTTTCTTCTTCGTCTTCCCAGCAACTGTTGTTGCCTGCAGGTGGCTGACTTCTTGGCCCCACACCTGGGGTGTGAGAGGCAAAAAGAAAACCCGGGAAACTCACAGGTGGGTCACTTCTTGGGTTTGCCATGTGCAGAGCTTTCGCTGCAGAAGAAATGGGGAAAAGTATGTCCACTCCATTTCTCCAGAAGTGGGAGTGTGTGCCTCTCTCTCTTTCTGTCTCTCTCCCTCTTTCTTTTGTGTGTGTTAAAGTACATGTAACATAAAATCTGCTGGGTTAACCAGGTTAAGTGTACAGTTCAGTGGCACTAAGTACTTTCACAACCTCACCACCATGAATTCTATATCCATTTAATGCTAATTCCCACTCCCTCCTCCACCCCAGCCCCTGGTAACCTTGAGTCTACTTTCTATGTCTATGAATTTGCCTGTTCTAGATATTTCATGCAAATGGAATCATGCAGAACTTGTCCATTGTGATTGACTTATTTCACTTTCCACATTGTCCAGGTTATCTACATAGTAATATGCATCAGCATGCCCTTTTTTCCATGGCTGAGTAATATTTCACCATATAGTTATACAGTACACCATGCTGCCTATTCATTCTCCTGTTGGTGGACGCTTGGATTGGTTTGAACTTGCCCTTGGACAAAGCAGTGCTGAGAGTTATGGTGAGAAGGGACAGTGGACATGTGTGAGGGGTCTACTTGTAGAACAGAGAGAGCTCGATTCTTGAGATGTAAATCCAGCATCCTCCAACAATCCCCAGCCAGTTTTCCTTTAGGAAACCTGAGAAAGGCTATCTTATGTGTTTGGCAGCCTTCTGCTTATTTACTTTAATAACCTTCCAGTGTGGATCAGTCCACAATATAATCTGACACTTTTCAAATGCCAAAAGAAAAAATAACATGGTGAGTCTGTGCACATCCCTGCTCCCCGGGGCCTCAGCAGTCCCTGTCAGAGCCCAGCCCTGTGCAGACTGCTGCAGCACTGCCACCGAGCCTCTGAGCTAAGGCATCAAGTCCTGTAACCGAGGTTACTGGGTAAGAGACTTGCTTGAAGACAGTGGAACCTGAGAACTGAGAAGTGTGCCCACTGACGGTCCCTGCCCCTGCAAGGCATGTGGACGTCAGCTTCCCGGCACGTGCTCCACATTCCTGGAGGCTCCATTCAGTGGCCAGTGTCATGCGGTGACCCCCAAATTCTTACTCAAAAATGAGCAGTCCACAAATAACACCTAACCTTTTGTCACTAAAGCTAAAGGCTTGGTACTCAATCTGTGGTACTTATTGGAAGGTGATGGGACAGTCAAGAGTTGGAGCCAAGTAGAAGGAAGATAGGTCACTGGAGGTGTGGCCTTGAAGGGACACTGGGACCCCAGCCCCTTCTCTCTCTCATGCTTCCTGGCCACCATGAGGAGAGCACCACTGCTCCACCAAATGCTTCCTGTCATGATATTCTGCCTTGCCACAGGCTCAAAAGCAATGGAGTCAGCCAACTATGGTCTGAAACCATGAGACAAAAGAAAATTTTCCTGTTTTAAGTTGTGTCTCTCTGGTATTTTCTTATAGTGACAGAAAGCTGGCTGAAAAAAAAAGGGTAAAACAA